TTTATTTATATTATGACACTTTCAATACGACGATATTAAATTACATTTTAAAAAAATTATCTGCAGATTTCTGCCAATGAACCTGCTGTTAAAAAGCCAAACGGATATTTCCACTTTTAGCTTATTTATTTCAGGACAGGCTAGGAACCTTACGCAGAGGCTTATAATCCATGTGTTAAAACCAGACCGAAGAAATCCGTAGTTTTTCGCTGAAAAAATGCAAAGAGGGCTTTGAGCCTCTGGTTTTGGGAGGGATTCTTGCAGATAAAGGGCAGATTGTGGCTTTGATGGGGATGGAGAGGACAGCAGGCCCTTATAAGATGGATTGCTTCCCCTGATCTCTTGAGAAGATTAAGGGGAGGGAGGGGGTCATTGCTACAAGGCTCAGACGGCTGGTCTGAAGCAGAGAAATGGCCGAGGGAAGGTGGACGGAGGAGGGGGGCCATAAAAGCTCCCCCCTCCTCTGTGAGGCAGATGGGCGGTTTAAAAATCTGATAAAAACAAAAACAATACAAAACGATCAGAAAAAAATCATCCCAATTCCATAAAAGAAAACCTTTGGGTGGGTTTGTTTGTATCCTGCCTTTATTACTTTTACAAATAACTCAAGGAGGAAAATCTATCCAATACTGTATGACTGTAACCTTGTTGCTGGTATCCTTACAATTTATATTGACTGTTTCCTAATATGGTTTTATTGCTTATTTGTTCCCTACGACTATCATTAAGTGTTGTACCTTATGATTCTTGACGAACGTATCTTTTCTTTTATGTACACTGAGAGCGTATGCACCAAAGACAAATTCCTTGTGTGTCCAATCACTCTTGGCCAATAAAGAATTCTATTCTATTCTATTCTATTCTATTCTATTCTATTCTATTCTATTCTATTCTATTCTATTCTATTCCTTCCTCTTCCTGTTTTGCCCATAACAACAAACCTGTGAGGTGGGCTGGGCTGAGAGAGAAGGACTGGGTTTAAATTACTCAGCTGGCTATCATGGCTAAGTCAGGAGCCAACATCTCTTGGTGATCGGCCCAAAGTCACCCAGCTGGCATTTGTGCCTAAGGTGGGGCTAGAACTCACCGTCTCCTGGTGATTAGCCCAAAATCACCCAGTTGGCTTTCATTCCCAAGGCAGGACTAGAACTCATGATCTCCTGCTTTCCAGTCTGGCACCTAACCACTAGACCAAGGGTCTCCAACCTTGGCAACTTTAAGACTTGTGGACTTCAACTCCCAGAATTCCTCAGCCAGCAAAGCTTTGGGAGTTGAAGTCCACAAGTCTTAAAGTTGCCAAGGTTGGAGACCCCTGCCCTAGACCAAACTGCCTCAACCTATTTTATTGTGGGCAACTGGGTGACACGGGAGTCGTTTCCGTTTTGTTCCCTGGGGCTGAACTTTCAGCTTCCTTTTCCTTGGCGTTTCGAAGCCTGCCAAAGCTTTTTCTCCCTGGACCGCACAGGGAATTTTGCTAAATGCGCAAAGAATCTGCTAATCAGCTTTGAGCCAAGAGGCAAGAATGGCAGATCGGAGGGAGGAGTGGATTGTGCTTTTTGTGGTGCCCTGGAAGCAAATTCCTTGGCAGCCTGCAGGCCAATTCAAAAGCCAAAGAAAAGAGGAGATAAAACACTTCAGGGTGGAAAGGAGTATGAGTGGCAGAGGTCATACCTCCCTGGAGGGAAACAGGCCAGCCTGCAAGAGAGCAAAACCTTAGTGGAAGGCACTAGATGGGGAGGGTGGGATCCCACCTGCCTTCCTCTCCAGAAGGACCGTGGGGCTTTGTGCTTCAGGTAAAAAAAAATGAAACTTTGATTTTTGGGTTTTGCTGATAGGTTTGTTATGATAGAAATGGCTGGTCTATGCAGCATATTATGGTGTAAAAGTAAAAAGTTGAGGTTGTAAGTTACTCCCTTATTTTACTGCGCTAAAAAGAGTGGGAAGTCAGTGTTTTTTCCTCCTCTTTTCCCTTTTATCCTACACTTTTTCCTCTTCCTTCGTTTTCTCATTGTTTTCGTTTCTTTTTGTTTCCTGTATTTTGTATCTGGATAAACAAATACAAAATTTGCACACACACAGAGAAAATAAAATATTAAATAGGAAAACTAGCAGAAAGATCATAGGGGGGAGGATTGGGTCCTTGGGATCCCTCGATCCCAGATCCCTCAGGGACTCCAAGGTGAAAAGCAGGTCTTGGAACAGATCTCCGTGAGGGCATCAACACATCTCACCCACCAAGCAATTAGAGGAAGGTTTGGCCACCATACCTGGAAGAGTCAGAATCTCCACACCTTTCGCAATGCAGTGCATGGAGGTTGTTGCAAAATTCCAGGTAGGGCATTAGGAGGGGGTGCCCCCCCTTCTCCCCCCATGCCCTGCACCCACAACCTCCTGTGCCTTGGAAGAAGACCAGGACACACCAAGAGGACCTCCAAGTCTCTTGCCTGATCCATCCTCTGCGGGAACCCCAAGCCAAGGACCACCAGATCCCCATCTCAGGTGGGTCCACCTCAACCCATGGTCTCCATTCAACCCAAGACCTTTCTGATCACACCTCCCCCCTCCCCTAATCACAACTTCCCCCCTTAGGGCACAGCTGGAGAAGAAAAGCCAATCCCCCCCAAGGGCCGGTTGACCATCCACAACCATCCGCCAAGGAAGTCCACCCTCTGCATCTGGCCGGGTGTGAGTTGGGTTGTCCAGCCTCTGAACCTTCAAAGGAAGGTCCAAAAGATCAGACATTGAAATAAGCCTGCATTCAACACAACCACAAGCCAGAACTGGGGCACGTTGCAAAGGCTGGGTTTGTGTTACAGGCCAAACTAAGATAAAACGGATAGTTTGGGGCTGGTTGTGTGGTGGGAATCCAACTTTTGGTGGAGTGGAGTTGGTGGGCGAAGGCAGGCGGTCATCTGAATCACCGCCCATCTAGGTGGGCCCTGAAAGATACGAGAACCAGCGACTGCCATTGGCTTTGGTTAACCTGGTTAGTTTGGGGAGAGGCGTCACTGCTTCATAAAGGAGGGTTATGGCAGAATGTTATTGTTCAAATGCAGGCAGTCCTTGATGTACGACCCTGATGGACCACAAGAATTCTGTTGACAAGCAAGACAGTCCTTAAGTGAGTTTTCACTTGCCACAGTTGTTAAGTGAATCACCGCAGTTGCTGAATATAAATGAATATAAATAAATAAATAAATACAAGTGGTCCTTGTACAAATACAGCCACAATGGAGCCCAAGGTCTCTGTCGCTAATCGAAACAGCTTTAAAGTGAATTTTGGCCCATTTCACAACCGTTCTTGCCGCAGTTAAGTGAATCCAGTTTTAAGAAGAGATTGGACGGCCCTTGGTCTGAAATGGGGTAGGCCAGGGTTTCCTGTTTGAACAGGGGGTTGGACTAGAAGACCTCCAAGGACCCTTCCAATCCTGTCATTCTATAATTCTGTTACAGTTGTTAAGTGAGTCACAGGGTTGTTAAGTGAATCTGGCTTCCCCATTGACTTTGCTGCAAAAGGGGATTGTGTGACTCCGGGACGCTGCAACTGTCATAAATGTGAGCCAGTTGCTGAGCCTCTGAATTTCGATCACATGACCATAGGGACCCTGCAACGGTCGTAAGTGTGAAAAATGGTCGGAAGTGCCGCTGTAACTTTGAACGGTCACTAACCGAACTGTTGTAAGTCGAGGACTATTTTTGTAGAACCTGGTTCACACAAGCGTGAAAGCTTCCCCAGGATTCTTCCTTGAAGGGCAACTGAGGGGGACAATTGTGATTCACTTAACAACTGTGTCAAGAAAGATCGTAAGATACGGCAGAACTCACTTAACAAATGTCTCGCTTAGCAACAGAGATTTTGTTTTCAATTTTGGTCGTAAGTTGAAGACCATCTGTATTTTAAGTTTCTCACAGCAAGCGTGTGTGCATGCATAAACACATCCTCAAATGCACAGACGCACCATATTTGCTCTTTTTTGGAAGCTGCTCAGACCTACAACATACAGGTAGTTCTCACAAGGGAGCCCAACATTTATGTGGCTAAGCGAGACGTTTGTTAAGTGAATTTTCCCCATTTTAAAACCTTTCTTGCCACCTTTGTTAAGTGAATCACTGCTGTGGCTAAGTTAGTAACACCGTTGTTAAGTGAATCAGGCTTTCCCCTTGACTTGGCTAGTCAGAAGGTCGCAGAAGGAGACTACATGATCCCAGGATGCTGCCACCGTCATAAGTACATGCCAATTGCCGAGCCTCTGAATTTTGATCCCGTGACTATGGGGATGCTGCAATGGTCGTAAGTGTGAAAAATGGTCATAAATATGAATTAGTTGCCAAACCTCTGAATTTGGATCTCACGATCATGGGGATGCTACAAATGTAACTGAAAAACGGTCATCGGTGCTGTTGTAACTTCGGACGGTCACTAAAAGAGTAAGTCGAGGACTGCCTCTATGGGAACTGGCCTTCTAAGGAGGAGATGTTGGCCACCCAACAAACATATACAAGAGAAGAAGAAGCAGCTTCTTCTCTTGTATATGGAGAAACCTTCAGCTGCAAAGTCCCCCAAAGTCCCATCCTGGTTTCTGGGGTGCCAGGAAAACCCAGAAAAGCACACACACACACACACAAATGCACACGGAGCGAGAGAGGCTTCCTCTTCCGGTCACAGCCCTGGCCGGCTGACCACACCAGCCCCAATGCTGCCAAACTGCCTCTGAAGGACCCCTCTGTGGCAGCCAGAAATCCCCAGAGCCCCCAAGCCCAGAAGGGGCAGCCAGGAAGTGGGGGGGGGGCTGCCTGGGGGCTTGACCAGCCCCCCCACCCAGTTTGCACCCCCCAAACTCTTGGAGTGGCCAACTTGGTCCATCCCAAACCCGGGAGTGCAACTGAACCCCAAAACCTGGTCAGGCTGAAGCTGGGCCAGCAAAGCAGCAGGTCAGCGCTTGGGGTCTCCGCCCCCCCCCCCAAAAAAAGGGGAGGGGGCGGACCAGGGCAGGTCTTACCTTGATCTTGTGCAGGGACTTCTCGGCCTCCAGCACCTGGATCCAGACGGCGATGCCGGATCGGTGGTAGGTGAGGTGCCAGCCGGCTTCCGAGGTGCATTCCGTTCGGAAGTGGTCGAAGTCGCGATCGTCCGGGATCTGCACGCTCTCCCGGCCGGACATGCCGCCGCCGGAGACCCCCGGCCGAGACCCCCGCCCGGGCTGGGCAAGGAGGAGGAGGAGGAGGAAGGCTGGCCGAGCCAAGCGCCTCGGGATGCGGCTCTGGGCGCAGGTCTGGCCGCGGCAGGGCGGAGTGGCGTGGCGTTGGCGGCCGGCCAAGCGGACAGGTGAGTCACGCGCAGGTGAGCCGCCTCCTCTTCCTCTTTCTCCTCCTCTTTCGCCCCCCTCCTTCCTCCTCCTCCTCTTTTCCCTTCTCTTCTTCCTCCCCCTCTTCTTCCCCCTCCTTCCTCCTCCTTCTCCTTCTCTCCTTCCTCTTCTTCTTCCTCCTCCTCTTTTCCCTTCTCTTTTTTTTCTCCTTACTCCTCTTTCCCCTCCTTTCTCCTTCTCTTCTTCCTTCTCTTCTTCCTCCGGCTTCTCCCTGCCCCGGTCGGGGCTCGGCAGCCGGGCTGGGCGGAGGGAGGGAGGGATGGAGGGATGGAGGCTGCCCGGGAGCAGCTGCAGAGGGGCGGCCGGGCAAGCTCGCCTCTGTCGGGATGCGGCACGGGAGCAGCGGCAAGCCGGCGCCCCCTTCGCCTCCCCCCCCCCTCCTCGGGCGCCGCCGGTGTCTGCCGGGTCCTACCGCCGCTCTCCGGGGCGGCCGCCTTCCCCAAGCAAGCAGGCGCCCCTGCATTCACACGTTTGGCCGGACACGAGTCAGGAGGCTTGCTGAGTGGAGGGTGGTCGGAGTCGTATTACCTGGACTCTTCCCCCCTCCCCCAGAGGGCTGGTGGGACTCAGCCAGATCTCAGGGGGTTGGTTTGAAACTGGGTTACAGGTAGTCCTCGACTTACAACAGTTCATTTAGTGACGGTTCAAAGTTACCAAAAAATGGCTTACGGCCATGTTTCACACTTACGACCATTGCAGCATCCCCATGGTTGCATGATCGAAATTCAGACACTCGGCAACTGACTCATATTTATGACGGTTGCAATGTCCCCAGGGACACGTGATCCCGTTTTGTGACCTTCTGACAAGCAAAGTCCATGGGGGGGGGGAGAAGCCAGATTCACTTAACAACCAGGTTACTAACTTAATAACGGCAACGATTCACTTACTAATTGTAGCAAGAAAGGTCGTAAAACGGGCTAAAACTCACTTAAGAAGTGTCTCACTTAGCAGCAGAAGTGTCGGCGCCGTTGTGGTCGTAAGTGGAGGACTGCGTGTATTTTGTGGCTTCCTGTGGGATCAGCTCCCTCTGCCCGCAAATTGACCCTCTGGCTATATTTGTTAATTTGCAATAAATGCAGATGCTCCCTCTGAATTGCATGGGTTTATTGATAAATTTATATCTGCCCCCTTCTGGCAGGCGAATGGTTACCAACAATCAAAACTTCATTAAATAAAGCAACAACAACAAAAAATCAATAATACTAAAATTAAGATCATAGCCCTCATACTGCCATTACAGAAAAGCATGGAAGACTGGAATGGTATGAGAACTTCTGCCCTGGGGGTGGGGGTTGGACTAGATGGTCTCCAGGGTCCCTTCCAGAGCTAGGATTCAATAAATTAAGGTCACTTCTTGCATTCTCTCTTCAGGCCACGGTGAGAAGCATTTAGGATGAGGGTCATTTTGTATTTTGCATTGATTATGCTTTCAATTTTTTTTTTTTTTTTACTGGTTTTCTACAGTTTGCGACTGGAAATTCTCAGTTTCTTCCAGGCCTTATTACAGGTAGTCCTCGATTTACGACCATGGCAATTTGCACCACAATGCAGCCGCCATTGACTTTTACTGGCCCCTGCAGCCCACAAGAGCAGATGCCACGGGGCATCCATGGCTCTGGGTGAGGCTTTTACTGGCCCTGCTGGGAAACCTGGCCAACCTGCCAGAATAAATAACATTCCGGCTGGTGGAATATTTGCCCACGGAACACAAGCTGGCTTCCCCCTCCCTGGGCAGGAAAGAGGAAGAAGGAGCAGCCAGGCAGCAGAGGCCTCGAAACCTCCTTCTCCGTCGTGGGTGAGACGGGAGGGGCGTTTCCTTCCTCCTTTTTGCAAAATGCTCGGGGCAGCTGGACCCTGCTTTGCACCCGGGGCCTTGCGGAGAACAAGGGGAAAAAGGGATTGAGCCCAGGGTCAACAGGTCAAATTTATATGCTGCCCATCTCACTATGTATGCAGAATTCATCTTGGAATTAGTTAAATTAAGAACCACTGTGCTGTAATAGTTTAGGTGCTGGCTTGTAAACCAGGAGGCGGTGAGTTCTAGTCCCGCCTTAGGCATGAAAACCAGCTGGGAGACTTTGGGCCAATCACCGGGAGACGGTGAGTTCTAGTCCCGCCTTGGGCACGAAAGCCGGCTGGGAGACTTTGGGCCAATCACCAGGAGACGGTGAGTTCTAGTCCCATCTTGGGCACGAAAGCCGGCTGGGAGACTTTGGGCCAATCACCGGGAGACGGTGAGTTCTAGTCCCGTCTTGGGCACGAAAGCCGGCTGGGAGACTTTGGGCCAATCACCGGGAGACGGTGAGTTCTAGTCCCGTCTTGGGCACGAAAGCCGGCTGGGAGACTTTGGGCCAATCACCGGGAGACGGTGAGTTCTAGTCCCGTCTTGGGCACGAAAGCCGGCTGGGAGACTTTGGGCCAATCACGGGAGACGGTGAGTTCTAGTCCCGTCTTGGGCACGAAAGCGGCTGGGAGACTTTGGGCCAATCACCGGGAGACGGTGAGTTCTAGTCCCGCCTTAGGCATGAAAACCAGCTGGGAGACTTTGGGCCAATCACCAGGAGACAGTGAGTTCTAGTCCCATCTTGGGCACGAAAGCCGGCTGGGAGACTTTGGGCCAATCACCGGGAGACGGTGAGTTCTAGTCCCGTCTTGGGCACGAAAGCCGGCTGGGAGACTTTGGGCCAATCACGGGAGACGGTGAGTTCTAGTCCCGTCTTGGGCACGAAAGCCGGCTGGGAGACTTTGGGCCAATCACCGGGAGACGGTGAGTTCTAGTCCCGTCTTGGGCACGAAAGCCGGCTGGGAGACTTTGGGCCAATCACCGGGAGATGGTGAGTTCTAGTCCCGCCTTGGGCACGAAAGCCGGCTGGGAGACTTTGGGCCAATCACCAGGAGACGGTGAGTTCTAGTCCCGTCTTGGGCACGAAAGCCGGCTGGCAGACTTTGGGCCAATCACCGGGAGACAGTGAATCTGGAGTTGGGCCAGTGCCTAACAGCTCAACCCCACCTCACAGGGTTGTTGTGGGCAAAAAGGAGGATGAAGCAACATCAGGTACATTCTAATCCTTGAGTTACTTATAAAGTCATAAAGACAGGATAAAAATATAAGAAACAAACAAAAATAACAAATGAGCGTCTCCCAGCCACCTGTGAGGCTATCATTGCAGTGTCTGCAGCTGTGGCCTGAACCCCCCCCCCCTCTTCTGCCTGTCATGAGCATGGCCGACAGCCAAAGAGCCCTGGTAGCGCAGCAGTCTAAAGCACTGTTATTAACATCAGCTGCCTGCAATTACTGCAAGTTCAAATTTCACCAGGCTCAAGGTTGACTCAGCCTTCCATCCTTTCAAAGGTAGGTAAATTGAGGACCCGGATCGTTGGGGGAAAGACCCTAAACCAGTGTTTCTCAACCTTGGAAGCTTGAAGATGGGTGACTTTGTATAAATATACAAAACTATGAAGGCTATTGCTTAACGCACTGTAAGCCACCCTGAGTCTCCGGAGAAGGGCGGCATATAAATCAAATTTAAAAAAAAGACACCATGGCAAAGGTTTGGATCTCGCTAAAAAGAGTCGGAAGGGCAGTGAAGGAAGTTGTGTGATTCATACACACACATACACAAACACAAACACACCCAACTGCCCCATTCCTTCTTTTTTCTTTTTAAGCTTCCAATTTGCCTTAGGAGATGTTGGCATGGAGCCCCTGGGATACTCGTTGAACTGGTTCACACCGTGTCCTAAAACCAGGATTGATTTAACTACGGTTTATTGATTGATTGTCTGGATTTGGGCAAGCTACTGAGCCATAAACCGTCCGTTAGCCAGCAGGGTGGCTGAGCCCACAAAATAGGATAATCCACATTAATGTGTGTTATGTGAGCTCCATCGCACAAGCCCCTTTATTTATTTATTAAATTTATACGCCACTTGTCTTGCTGCCTCGAGCGACTCTTGGGTGGCAGGTTTACAACAGTAAGAAAGCACGCAGGTAGTCCTCAATTTACGACCACAAACGAGCCCCAAATTTCCGCTGGTCACTGTGCTTGGCCCGTAAAGATCCTAAACCAGCGCTGGCTGGGGGATTCTGGGAGTTGAAGTCCACCCATCTTCAAGCTTCCAAGGTTGAGAAACACTGCCCTAAACCCTGTGAAGACTGGAGGGAGGCAGGATTAGCCTTGCCCCAATTCGGGGCTGTAGGTCGATCCTTTGTAAAGGATTTAGAAAAAAATTGCAGAATTTGCTGGCTATCAGCAGGCAGCTTAATCTTCTGCAGTAAAAAATCAGATTTTATTGCACCTTAAAGCCCAACTTGTTTATTCAGATTTCTCGGGAATCACACACAGCCAAGGGACTTTTCCTAACGTCGTGAATTATTTGGCGGGGTGGGGATGGGGGATTTTCTAAGAATTTCTCCCTGCGTCTTCCAGGCCTGCAAAGTTGATGCTACATGGAGTGGAATCTCTTCGGTTTCTTGGCAACGCTGCTCTAGGAAGATCGGCTTCCTCTGGAGAAATGCCTCGCCGAAAATGGTCGGAATGCGGTGACCGAATTGTGCAGCTTGGAATAAATAAATAATTGTCGATGTTCGTAAAAAAAACAAGGTTTAGGGAACAGCCAAGAAGTAGCTGGTGGAGCCCACCTGTGCTGCTTTTCTATTTTATTTTATTTTGTTATTATCATTATCATTATTATACTTTTATTCATTAAACATGAAACTCAGTCAACTGAACGTTTAAAAATGTATCACAAAATATCAATGACTGGCGTTGGTGGTTGATATGGGTTCCTGCCAGCATCCTCGG